AGAGCAGGTAGGTCTCTCAGCTCCCAATTCTGAACTGACAGTGATTGACATTGATGCAAATTCTTACAATATAATTGTAGTAATAAAGGAAGCGACTCAAGATTGCCATATGTTACTAATAAAACATAGCATTGTTCTATCTTATGCATCAAATATATCAAGAACAAAATGTAAAAACAGTAACAGGAGTTTAAAATTTCCATACTCTGCTTCCTTGATACGTAGACCTGTTTTTTTTTGCCTGGAAACTAAGATTTATTGAGCTTACCATTAGCCTGTCTACTTTTCTAAGCATCCAATGTGACTTATAATATGCTATCAAACAATTTTAAATAAATATAATCGTGCTAAGGTACCAGTCACATCACTACAAATTACAGTCAGGTTTATGATAAATGTTTGATAAATGTAAATATTTACATTTGCATTCCTTATAATAGGCATGAAAGCTAGCTGAGTGACTTTGGGCCAATCACTGGGAAATGGGGAGTTCTAGTCCTGCCTTACACATGGGAACTGGCTTGGCTGACTTTTGGGCCAATCACCAGGAGATGGGGAGTTCTAGTTCCACTTAGGGATGAACGCCACCTGGGTGACTTTGGACCAGTCATGCACACTCAGCCCAAGCCACCTCACAGGGTTGTTGTGGGAAAAGGAGGAGGGAGGGGTATGAGGTATGTGTGCCATCTTGATTTATTTTTTAAAAAATGATAAAAGTGGGAAATAAATAAATACCAGAAAGTTGGATGAGGAGTTAAAAGGCAAACTTTTAAAAATAAGGATGAGAATTATGGGTGTGATCCAGAATCATATCGTGCATTTTGGGTTGATAGAAAGTTAGGAGGGGTTTTTTTCCCCCTATGGGAGAGCCTTCAGGCATTTTTCTGTGCTTTGAAATGGTCTTCTCTTATTCAACAGTCACGGGTTGTGCTACTTACAGGTAGTCCTCAACTTATGACCATATAGGGGCCCAATATTTCTGTTGCTAAGCGAAACAGTTGTTAGGTGAGTTTTGGCTCATTTTACAACCTTTCTTGCCCCAGCTGTTAAGCGAATCCCTGCAGTTGTTAACTTAGTAACATGGTTGTTAAGTGAGTTTGGCCTCCCCATTGACGTTGCTTGTAAGAAGGTCACAAAAAGGGGACCCCACGACCATCGTAAAGACATGTCAATCATCTGTATTTTGTTCACGTATCCACAGGGATGCTGCAATGGTCATAAGTGAAAAACAGTCATAAGTCACTTTTGTCAGTGTCGTATCTTTAAACAGTCGCTAAATGAAAGGTTGTAAGTTGAGGTCCTCTTTTGCATGCTATACATTCAAGGGACGATAATCGTGCCTTTCAAAAATAGGCAGTATACTTATCTCCGAATGAAACTGGTTATACTTATTTATAGGGGTTCTGTGTGTGTAACTCAAGCACATTCCCCAGCATTAAGTGTATCTATTTCAAAAATAATACACATTGCTTCCATTGCTTCTTCTGCCATTGCTGCTTCTGCAGTTCCTGGTGTGACTCTTCGTGTATTTGTGTGTGTGTACACATATACATATATATATATATATATATATACACACACACACACACATATACACAGTATATATATATGCACACACACACACAAACTTTACAGCTGAATATTCTCTGCGGTTTTGAAGCTCCACTTGTATTTTATCTTTTTCTTCTTGTTCACGGATCAACACAAAGCACAAAAATCTTATCTGTCTCTTGCTGCAGAGACCTGTGAATCTACTTTATCTATTTTTACGACTCTTTGCCCCATTGGAAAGTAGGAAAACAGGATGTCCCACGTCACAGTCTGGTGTAGTGTTTTTCAGTAGCTTTAAGATGCACGGCCTTCAACTCCCCAAATTCCACAGCTGTAAATTGTGAACGCACAGTTGTCTGGTGGGTTTATAAACAAATCCAGGTTTCAACCCAGATATTTTATGCCTGCGTTTGATAACAAATTTTTGGAGGTTGCTATGACAGGAGATCCTGCTGAATCTCCAATCATACGAGCTCTTGTGCAAAGAACCTTCCTAACAGGTGTGCCTCACCTTATCCCTGGAATGACAACTTCTGGATCTGGAATAGGTTGCTTCATACTGCAGCTTTTAATTGTCACGTACAGCTTGGCTAACCTGTGTTAAGACACATAATCTCTGTTGCATGTTTGCTGTAAACATTTCTGAGTAGGACTTATACCTGGTTGGGCTTTGTGGAAACACAAGGTTGCTGTAGAAGTTCTGTCTAAGCAACCAACCTCTAGATACACCTTGTCACTCATTCGGGAAGATGGATACCACATATCTTTCTGTATTTCAGCTCCCGAGTTTCTTGTAAGCTCTTTGAGATAGGCTGGATGAGATGCACAAACCTTATTGTCCCAAGGTGCTTTTTCCAAAGGAAACTGGACTTTGTTTCTCCTTGAAGACGTTTCGCTTCTCTTCCAAGAAGCTTCTTCAGCTTCTTCTTGGATGAGAAGCGAAACATCTTCCAGGAAAAGCAAAGTCTACTTTCCTTTGGAAAAAGCACATTTGGAACAACCATGACCTGGATGACTGAAAATCTCCATAGACACTATATTTATTGTAAAGTCCCAGTAACAGAAATAGTTAGCACTTCAGATACAATCCCAGTTAGCTGATGTGTGTGTGTGTGTGTGTGTGTGATGGAGAACTGAGTCAGACACTTACAGTTGTGTTGCTACTCATACATTATATTCCTGTTTTACTTTAGTTTCTTTAGCTTTTAAGATAAACTTTGAAATATGTAGATAATACTTATTGTTATGAGCAAGATTTAGGCTTCAGGGTTTTTAACCAGTAGCGTTTTTCTCCCATGGCTGTTTCTACAATTTTTAAGATAAACTTCAGCAACACGTAGGTTGTACTTACTGAATTTTATGAGCAAGATTTATGATTCAGGGATTTGAACAGTAGTGTTTTCCCCCATGACTGTTGGTAGTAAAATCAGTCTTGTCCATTTAAGAAAGAGGTTGCTTTAACTGAATTTTTAAACCCTGATTGTTTCTCAGAGTTTGGCTTTTGTTATTGCTGCAGTTTTAGTAAATTCCAACAATTGCAGCCCAGGAAAAAAAAAGGTTTTGACGGTGTCTTCCACCTTTGCAGTTGATAGGAGATGAGGAGAAAACAGGTCTGGGGATGGTTGCCATTATAGATCTTCATTTTCCATAGGCAAAGGATGCTGGAGCACATAAAATGTCCCAGCAAGGCATACTTGTACAATAACAGCATCGTCTGTCAGAGGTTGAGAATAGCAGCCCGGGTGCACTGAGACGTGGCCATGCAAATCCAGCTGCCAGCTCTGTTTTTATTTTTCACTCGCCGCAGTGAGTGCTAATTCAGGCGTGCCTGTCATTTAGCTCCTGTCTCTTCCTTGCAGTGCGCCAGACTTTGGGGAGATGTTCCGGACTGCCATCATGATGGCTGCCAGCCTGGCCTTAACCTCCGCCGTGATAGCTCACGCCTATTACCTGAAGCACCAGTTCTACCCCACCGTGGTGTACCTTACCAAGTCGAGTCCCAGCATGGCGGTGAGTCTGCCCCTTCCCAGTCGGTCCCGGGAGTAGCAATAGCACTTAGACTCATATACCGCTTTACAGACCGCTCCTAACCGGTTTACAGAGTCAGCCATGTTGCCCCCAGCACCCTGGCTCCTCCTTTTGCCCACCTCAGAAGGACGGAAGGCTGAGTCGACCTTGAGCCTGGTGAGATTTGAACTGCCAAACTGCAGGCAGCCGGCAGTCCGCAGAAGTAGCCTGCTGTACTGCACTCCTAACTACTGCACCCCCGTGGCTCAGTATAGCCTTTTAGGTGTGGCGTACCTCCAGTTCCTTGCGCTTCAGATACGCGATGGCTTCTAAGCAAAGATTTATAGACGACGTAGGCAGTGGAGTTGTAGTTCCAGCCAGTTTGAAAGATCGATTCTTTACTTACCTTTGTATTTTTATTTATTTAGCCAGCTAACTAACTAAAGAACCACGGTGATGCAGTGGTTAAGAGTGCAGTATTGCAGGATAATTCTGCTGCCTTATGCATGAAAAACAACTGGGTGACTATGGGCCAATCACCAGGAGACAGTGAGTTCTAGTCCCACCTTGGCACGAAAGCCGGCTGGGTGACCCTCAGGAGGGTGAATTCTAGTCCCACCTTAGGCATGAAAGCTGGCTAGGTGAGTTTGGGCCAGTCCCTTTCACATCACAGAATTGTTGTGGGGATAATTAGGAAGAAAGGACGTGGGATATGTGTGTCGCCTTGAGTTATTTGGGAAAATAATAAAAGCAGGGTACAAATAAAATTGCATCCTGTAGGAGCTTATTTTTGTAACCAGAAAGAAGAGACGGGTTAACAATCCAGAATTCCTTGCCAATTGTATTTTTCTTTATGCACAGTTAACTAAACCACATTTTTTTTTTCTTTTGCTGTCTTGTGACGCCAGGTCCTGTACATTCAGGCTTTTGTCTTGGTATTCCTGCTCGGCAAATTTATGGGCAAAGTGTTTTTCGGACAACTCCGAGCGGCAGAAATGGAGGTGAGTCATTGCCAGAGCACGGAAATGTTGCTGGCCTTGATGAGCGGGCGTGCTTAAATGGGCTTCAGCAAAATTTGCTGTCCTTTTGCAACGAAGCATCTATTTTGAAGCTTGGAGCACCAGTTATTAAGACATCCCTTTTCCTGTTCCCTCAAATCTTGCGTCTTTGCTTATGAACTACAAAAAGAGCCAATTGTACAAAGTTAAGTGCTTTTTCTCTTTGGCTAAATTTTTTTGTATGGTGTCATTAACACACACACCAATAATTTGGAGCTAATTTTGATTGGAACAGTTTTGACTGTGGAAATGAGAGATGTGAAGAGATCCAGTTGCAGAATTAAGGAATAGAGGTAGTCCTCGACTTACAACAGTTCATTTAGTCAGTTCAGAGTTACAACGGCACTGAAAAAAGCCTCATGATTGTTTTTCACACTTAATGACCATTGCAGCATCCCCGCGATCACGGGATTAAAATTTGGCCATTGGCAACTGGCTCATATTTATCTCGGTCGCAGCGTCCCGGGGTCACATGATCCCCGTTGGTGACGTCCTGAGAAGCAAAACCAGATTCCCTTGACAATCGTGTGACTAGCTTAAGAACTGCAATTATTCCCTTAAGAACCCTGGCAAGAAAAGTCATAAAATCCGGTCAAAATCACTTAACAAATACGTCACTTAGCAACAGTTTGGGCTCAGTTGTGGTCGTAAGTGGAAGACTACCTATATTCAGGATCTCTTGGTGTCCAGTGTTTAAGTTCATTTGTTCCCTTCGGAGGCAAAATGACAAAAAGTATACTTTTAATTGTAGAAACCGTGTGTGTGTGTGTGTGTGTGTGTGTGTGTGTGTGTGTGTGTGGCTTGTCACCCAGCTGGATTTCCTTTGTCAAAATCATTTTTATTTAGCTGTTAACCAATTTGGGTTTCACTTCCCTTCTCAACAGACACCTGGAAGGAGAATGAGAGGAAGACAATAAAAAGCGCAGCCATTAGAAAGCGTTTCACATTTACATTTACAGTAGCAGTTTTAAAAGAAACCCAACAGATTCATACACAAGTCTTATAAGGAGTGAGTGAGGAAAGAGAGATTGCAGTAGATATTTATGGATATAAGAAGAATTCTGTGTGATCCAGCAGCTGGCCAGTAGATTCTGAGCCACACAGACGCCAGATTCGGCACCTTATAGCAATAGACTTAATGGGAAGCCACAGGAAGGGGTCTTCTTCCAAGCTGGACACCTCCAGAGGCTCTGGGGCTCCCAAAACCACAACTTGACTCATTTTTCATTTATTTATTAAACTTATGTGGCCGTCCAACTCACACACAGGTGATTCCAGGCTGCTCACAACTTGCAGCCACGTTGGCTGGGATTTCTGACAGTTGGCATCCTACCTCCTCTGGGTGATGCCAGCTGGAAGGGCACCAGGGCATCACCAGACATATGTCAGCTTTGGAAGCCATATTGAGACCAGATGCTCCCACGCTGCCACATCTGAGCCTGGGAAAGTTGGAGGGGGGTATATATTGGAGTACATCTAGTTAGACTTAATAACATTCTTTTTCTGATTCAAGGTCAGGTTGTGTTGCGCATAAGTGAGACGAAGCCTTAACTTGGGATGGTGATTGGGCCATGTGATGCGATGATGGGTGCAGGGGTGGATTTTGTAGTTTTGATTTATCGCCAGGAAGCCCGGAACTTTCTGATTCGGGATTCCCCAGTTGTGCCAGTTTACTATCCAAAATAAAAGGAACCTTTGAGAAGATGCCAGTCTCTTGAGTTATTGGGCGGAATGGAGGGTGGCTGGAACGCTGATAGCATATAAATCTGGAGATTTATACCAGCAGGGCAGGGGGATATCAATTTGGTTTGAGCAGCATCTTAAAATCCCGTCTTTCCACATCCAGCATCTGCTGGAGCGCTCGTGGTACGCCGTGACCGAGACCTGCCTGGCCTTTACCGTCTTCAGGGATGACTTCAGTCCTCGTTTTGTGGCTCTCTTCACCCTCCTCCTCTTCCTCAAGTGCTTCCATTGGCTGGCTGAAGACCGGGTGGACTTTGTAAGTGTGATTCCCTACTCGAGTTTGTGGGTGCGAACACACGGCACTCTAAACCAGGTCAAGATAAAACTGGGTTTTTTTCTGCTTCAAATGTCGAAGCCAGGTTTCTCAACCTTGGCCACTTGAAGAGGTGCGTGGACTTCAACTCCCAGAATTCCCCAGCCCCTTCAAACTTGCTGGTTTTTTTTTCTATTCTAGATGGAGAGAAGTCCCAACATATCTTGGTTGTTCCATTTCCGCATTGTCTGTAAGTACTTTTATATTTATTCTTTTAAATTAAATTTCTATCACCTTTTTTCTTTCTTCTTTTACTCTCCCGTGATCCCTTTGACCTTGTTTTCTCTCCAGTCGATTGGTTGTGGCTTGAGATCGGATCCCAGTTTGGCTTCTTGAGAATCGAGCCCATAAAATCTACCTGAAAATAGTTTCCCAGGGTAGAGTGATTCTGTTTCTCTTACGAGTTTCTTTTTTCCCTTCCTCCGGTTTTAGTTTTTCTTTTATGCATGTAGTTCATTTCATAACAGCTTCATCGTTGATATGTCTAGTTATGGCTAGCTGGTCAGAGTCTGCACAGGTAGTCCTCGACTTACGAGTACAATCGACGAGCCCAACATTTCTGTTGCCAAGCAGGACAGTTGTTAAAGTTAGTTTTGCCCCATTTTATGAACTTCCTTGCCACTGTTGCTAAGTGAATCACTGCTCAGTTGTTAAGTTAGCAACACGATTGCCACAAAGGGAGTGCCACAAAGATATATTTGGGGGTCAGCCTATTCTCCAAAGCACCAGAGGGCAGAACAAGAAGCAACTGATGTAAATTAATCAAGGAGAGAAGCAACTTAGAACTAAGGAGAAATTTCATGAGCGGGAGAACAATTAACCAGTGGAACAGCCTGCCACCAGAAGTTGTGGGTGCTCCAACACTGGAGGCTTTTAAGAAGAGATTGGACAACTATTTGTCTGAAATGGTATAGGGTTTCCTGCTAAAGCAGGGGGTTGGACTAGAAGACCTCCAAGGTCCCTTTCAAACTCTTTATTTTAGTAAAGGTTGGGTCTAAACCACCCTTGGATGTCTTTCTCAGTCGAGTCGCTGCTGGGCCAGCTGCCTTGTTTAAAAATACTTGTAGCTGGACAAGTGACGGAGCCATCCTTGCCTGCTGCGTTCTTTTTTCCCAAGGTCAGATGAGGTCAAGTGACTAAAAACAGACGGAGTCACCAACGCAGTTTGAACTGTAACTGTAAATAAGGCAGATGTTCCAGAAGTCTAATTGTGGGTCGTGATTTACATTGTCAAAATTAGCTTGGTTATTTGCATTCAAAAGGCCCTAAGGTGCCCTTGGCAGTCCCTACTTTCAGCTGCTATTATTATTATTATTATTATTATTATTATTATTATTATTATTATTACTATTACTATTACTATTACTATTATTATTATCTCGCACTTCCAAACACAGCCACTTTTATGAGTGTAATTAATAAAACCCAGAAATATCTGCTTTGGGCAGTTTTCAAAGTTGTTAAAGGGCCTCCTGCACCTCAGTTTTCTTTCTGGCATGTTACAGGGCACCCTTGACTTACGGCCATCCTTGAGCCCAGAATTATTGTCATTAAGCAGGGTCGCTTACCTGATTGAACCTAATTTTATGACATTTTTTTTTTTCGCAAGGGGGAATCATTCAATAAACCCTGCAATTATTAAGGGAATTCAAATTTAACTTGTGGGTGCTTTTTGCCTGCAACTGGAAGTTAACCCCAGAACCCTGCAAACGAATGGGGAAAAAATAATTGTGGTTGTGGGATCACGGGATGCTGCAAACGGCCACCAAGGTCAGCTGGTTGCCGAATGTCAAAAATACGATCATGTGACCACGGAAGGGGTGTGTGTGTGTGTGGCCGTCTGTCAGGGCTCCAACAGATCCACCCCCATTCAAATCATAAGTCTCTAGCCGCATCTCTCAGAGTTTAAAGAAGATTTATTAGGAGTGACCATGTCGGCGTTACCTGGATGCAGCCGACTCTGAGACACATCGTTAAAAAAAAATGTTTTATTAGGTTGGCCATGTTGGCGTTAGCTGGGTGCAGCCGACACTAAAATACATCATTCATTTCCCCCTTGACCCTGGTCTTCCCCCCACCCCACCGGGATGTATATCCTCCAATGGGACACATCCATAGCCAAGAGTCATCGATCATGCTCTCCAGTGATATTTTTGCACGCCAACAACTTTGGGCTGCCAAGGCGATTATCTAAGACATTTAAGGAATGCACTGCTTCCCCCCGTTCCCTTTTTCTGGCAGCTATAACAGGCCAAAAGAGTATCTTTTTAGTTCACACTGTTGTAACTTTGAACCCAGGTTGTAAGTAGCTTTTGCAGGATCTGTTGTCCCTTCAAACGGTTGCTGAGTTACCAGGTGTAATTCGGGAACCACCTGTAGTTTTAGGGTCAGGAGAGAAACGGGCCGTGCTGCCTGGAGCTTCTGATGGAAAGGCAGGATATAAATCTGATACATGACAAAATCAGAGCACTTTGCAGCAGCCCCCCTGGGAGGTTGTGAATCTCAGGTGTAGTTTGTGCCTTTTTCCTCCACTTCTTTCTACTTTTCCAGTGACAAAATGGCCTCTCTTCTTCCTCAGCTCTCATGGTGCTTCTGGCCATCCTAGATTTCCTGTTTGTCAGCCACGCTTACCACAGCATCCTGACCCGGGGGGCTTCCGTCCAGCTGGTCTTTGGCTTTGAGGTGAGTAAATAAGAATAAGGAGAAGGAGGAGGAGGAGGAGGAGAAGAAGAAGAAGAAGAAGAAAGAAGAAAGAAGAAGGAGGAAGAAGAAGAAGAAGGAGGAGGAGGAGGAGGAGGAGGAGGAGGAGGAAGAAGAAGAAGAAGAAGAAGAAGAAGAAGAAGAAGAAGAAGAAGA